CCATGTAATCGTTTTTTCCTCATTTCTGTTTTTGTGGTTCAATTCTAGTTTCATGCTGTTATGGTCAGAAAAGATGCTTGAAATAATTTCTGTTCACCGTAAATTTCTTGAGGCTTGTTTTGTGTGTCCTAGTATGTGGTCTGTCCTGGAGAATGTTCCATGTGAACTTGAAAAGAATGTGTATTCTGGGGCTTTTTTGGATTTAATGTCCTGAAAATGTCCATTTTTGTCTAATTGTTCTATTGCATCATTTAGGATCCCTGTTGCCTTATTGATTTTCTGTCTGGAAGATCTGTCCGTTGATATCATTGGGGTATTAAAGTCTCCTACTGTTATTGTATTCCCATCAATTCCTCCCTTCATGACTGTTAGTATTTGTTTGATGTATTTAGGTGCTCCTTATTATTTAACCCAGGGTTACCAATCCTGTTGAACGTGGAAAATTGGATCACAGAACTGTTTTTCATGTGGTGACACTAAACACATAGTAACCATCTGGGAAACATCATTGTGAAGAACATGCTTTGGGAAACTCTCTCCTGCTTCTTCGAAAGCTCCGTTTGCTTGGCTTCCAAGTCCCTGTGGTTCTAGGCTTTCCTGGCAGCAGCCGTGCATGTCATTGTCCCATTCTATGGGTGATGATGGAGAGGTGATTGCTGAAAAGGCCTGCTGCCCCGGGTATCTTTCCCACCTGTCCTTCATGGTGTGTTAGATTCTGAGGGTCAGGAATGCTGTGGTGACTTAGCAGGGTGGTTCCGGCAGAGGTCTCTTTGAAGTTGCAGTCAAGACATCAACCGGAGCTACAGGGACTTGATGGTCTGATACGTACTGGATGATGCAGTGCGATGGTGGCTCTCATGTGGCTGGCATATGGTGTGGGCTGCTGGCCGCAGGCCTCAGTTCTGCTCCGTGCTGACCTCTCCACCAGCAGTTAAAGGAATTTAATTGTACACATTTGATTCATTTTTATCAGGAGATATAATCAGTATGTATATAGTTAAGCATTTCAGTTATGATCAATAAAAATGTAGGTTTATCCTGAATTTTCACTGAGTGAGCCATATGGATTATTCGTTTTGTTCCACAGATTTGGGCCACCAAGAAGGAAGCATGATGACAATCTATGAAAATATCCCCTAGATAATTCTTTTGGAATCTTAAGCCCTGTGTGAAACTGTTACTTCGCCTTCTACTATTTCTCCGTAAGAATCAGGCCGAAGTCATAAAGAGATGAACTTGGTCTAAAATCTGTTCTGTTAAGAAGTTTCTTGGCATTATTGGCATCTGGGGGCCGATGAGTCAAGTCTTCCGTGCGGGGAGGCTGTTCTGTGCGTTGTAGATGCTGAGCGCTATTCCTGGTCTCTACCCACTAGGCGCCAGTACCTCCCCTCCTCCACTTGTGACGACCGAGAGATGTCTCCAGACATTGACTGATATCCTGCAGTCCCCAGGGGCAGAGAGCGCAGCCATCCCTGGTTGAAAACCACTGTGTTAAAATAGGACACACCATGGTAGTTCCATGCTGCTATTAGGGGTTACATATGTGGATCCATATCAGATATCAGTGTGAGAAGGTACCTGGGTAGCCAGAGTCACCTCAAGGGGTCCTGGGAAGCCAGAAGTGCAGGCAGTTACCAACTCAAAACTTTGGAGCTAAACTACCTCAGGGGAGGGAGAAGGATTTAGAATGATAGCCAGGGCTGCAGGCAAAACAAAACCAATCCGGCACCTCTGGTTGCCCTGATAGACTTGGCAAAGCTTCTGAGCGGAAGAGTAATTTGGTTTGCCCCAAGGAGAGCGACACTGCACTATTCCTTGTCTCTGGCAAAATGATGTAGAACAATACATACCCAAGGGATGGGAAACGGGGGCTCAAACACATTCCTGGACATCAGTGTTCCTAACAGCAGTATTCACAGTAGCCAGATGCCCATCAACTGGTGGCTGGAAAGGTAAACAAAAGGTAGTGCATGCGTTCAACAGTATAGCATTCAGCCATACAGAGGAATGAAGTACTGATACATGCTGCATTGTGGATGAACCTTGGAAACATCATACTAAGCGAAAGAAGCCGGACATAGAGAAGGTGTTGTATGGTTCCATTTATGTGAAATGTCCAGAACAGGCAAATCTGCAGAGACAGAAAGCAGGCCGGTGGTTGCCTGGGAGGGGGATTGAGGACTGACTGCTTAATGGGCCCGAGGTTTCCTTTTGGGGTGACGTAAATGTTTTGAGACTTGACGTAGGGATGATTGCACAGCATCGTGAATATACTAAAGGCTTTACGCCTCCTGTGTGGGAGGACTATTAGTCATTGTCTACACCATTCCATGCCAAGAACTGACAGCAACCAGAAAATGAGTCCTTTTTATATTTATTACTACCTTTGAGAGGAAAGAATATATTGCATTTGTTCAAATCATTTGCGTGGCAGACTTCCCTGGCGGTCCAGTGGTTAAGACATTGCCTTCCAATGTAGGGGGTGAGGGTTGGATCCCTAGTCAGGGAGCTGAGATCCCTCATGCCTCGCAGCCAAATAACCAAAACATAAAACAGAAGCAATATTGTAACGAATTCAGTAAAGACTTAAAAAAAGTGTGGGGGGGACTTCCCTGGTGGTCCAGTGGCTAAGACTCCATGCTCCCAATGCAGGGGGCCTGCGTTCGATCCCTGGTCAGGGAACTAGATCCCACATGCCGCTACTAAGAGTTTGCATGCCACGACTAAAGATTCCTCATGCTGCAACGAAGATCCTGCACGCCACAACGAAGATCCCATGTGCCACAACTAAGACCTGGCGCAGCCAAATAAATAAATAAATATTTTTTAAGAAATCATTTGCGTTTCACACAAATCTTTTTCAGCACGTAAATTTTTGCCAGCACTGTTTTTTTTTGTTTTTTTTTTTGTTTTTGCGGTACGCGTGCCTCTCACTGTTGTGGCCTCTCGCGTTGCGGAGCACAGGCTCCGGACGCGCAGGCTCAGCGGTCATGGCTCACGGGCCCAGGCGCTCTGCGGCACGTGGGATCTTCCCGGACTGGGGCACGAACCCGCGTCCCCTGCATCGGCAGGCGGACTCTCAACCGCTGCGCCACCAGGGAAGCCCTGCCAGCGCTGTTTATTGATAGTGGTTCTATTTAGGTGTTAATAATGGGAAAATCAGGACTGACCAGGGGTTGGAAGTTCAGGTTTCTCACTTTAACTTATTATTTCTAGTAATGAACTAATTAATTTTGACATGTTGCATAACCAGAATGTTATTAACCAGTCGTATTTCGCATTTTGTGTGTTTATAACACATAGATGATGTTAATTACATGTACTGAATTTAACAACTTATATCAAAGATAACCTTCAATTTGTGAGTTACCATCTGTTTTGGGCCAGGGAATAGGAATTTGATACTGAAGCTTTTTCCTGAACAGCTTGTAATGAGAGCTGTTTATATATCAATTACGTAATTGAATTATTATGGATTTTAATGTTTTAATTTTCAAGCAGTTTGGGGCTTATTGTGGTGACATCTGCTTATATTTTGATACTTTATGGTGTTTAGCAGTTTCATCATAATGCTCTTGCGTTTACAGCCCAATCCCGAAAATAATTTGCTGTCTGCTTCAGGTTTGCTGTAAGGAGTATCGTCCTATTTCATCTCCACTACCGACTTTTTTTCATAATGAAATGTATTTTTCTTTTATAAGCAAAGTCAGTATTCCCTAGTGCCTGCTTCAGTCTGGTGCCCTTTAATTTCTATTCAAAGAGCTATAGAGGAATTTTGTTTAAATCTTACTATTTTCCTTCAGTGGTAGATTTTTTCAGTTGTCCTGGTTTTATCTTATATATCCTTATGTGGTTTAAAAATGTACTGTAATGAAACTTAAGGGCCTATGAACCTGCTTGTAGAATCCTTTTAGTCTCCTTTCTTTGAACAGTGTAACGATAAACGTGACTCAGTGGGAGTAATTTACTTGAATTTCCTTAAAACATTTCAAGAGGTTCTGTATACATTCACTAATAAGAAACACCTTCATTCATAGCCTCACTTATGGGTTTGAATTATATTAAACCTAGCGCCTTTTTATTATTACTTAAGGCTATCGAACAGGAATTTAGAGAAAACAGCAAGCATTTAATTTCCTTAGTTCTTGTAGATAATTTCAACCCTGTAGGAGACTGGATTCACTCACAACTAAAGAGAATTCATGAGGAGGAAGAAGGTAAATATTATTACGTTGATCCTGGTTGACTGCTTACTGTTTATACTGACAGAAAAATACAAATGAGTTTTTGATAGGAAGGATTATCTTATGACATATACCCCTGGCTTCTTCAGAAATCCATGCAGGTGGAACCCCTGTGAAATGGAAATGTAGGAAAACAATAATGTAAAAGTTGAGAGTCAGTGCTTGCTTTCGCTTTATTTTAGGGAAGCCAAAAAAGGAAAAAAAGATTCTAATGTTTCTGTGTTTTTCTGGGCACATAAAAGAGTGGATGTCTGCACACAAACATGCATGCCATGATTATTGTAAACAGTTGCCCAAGCCATGTCTATAATGTCAGAAAAGATGTCTGGAGCATCTTTTCTTCTCTTAAGGGTGTGTACAGTTTAATTTATTGGTTGTATGTGATATGGTCTCTAAAACAAAGATATTTCAAGTGGGCATTAGTTTCATTGAATGATGGCAGGAACAATATCTGAGCTAAAATCAATTTTATTTACTTTGAGACTTTTTCCTTACAAATCTCTACATGTACCATAATACTGACTGGCCGTTTTAATTTCTCCTTTTTCACACTGCAAATAAAACTGCATAGTTTGTGTTAAAGTTTTAGGACAGAGATTATGAAACAGTAAAATGTGTTAAGTTTGAGTTGGGATGAAAAAGAAAAACAAGAATAGGACAGGTCAAAGGTGAACAATTTCCGAAGAATTTTAAGGTGTTTTTTGTTGTTACTGTTGTTGTTGTTGTTGTTTTTCAAATCTCTCTGTTTCTCACCAGGCAAGGTCCCAGCAGACACTTGGCGTTTTATATGATCGGATGCTGGGGAGCCCACTGGTTCAAAGGTCTACAAATGAAGTCAGCCTAAAGGTAAACGCCTGCCTTTGATCTTTGTCTTTTACCTGAAATTCGTTTGAAGCAGAGCTGCGTTTTGCCAAAACTGAACACCTTCTGTTTTGAAATGCTTTCTTGAGACAGAGTCTGAGGTCTTTCTCCTTGCTGAAGTTGAAGGTAGTAGATAGAGCATCATTAAATAATGATGGGCTCTTTAGTCCATTCTACATAACGGATCGGCCTTTTATTGCCTTCCAAGAATTGTGGATACTGAACCAGCCATTATAAACTTTTCTGGGTCTTACCGGAAGCAGATGACACTTTCTAAAATCATTCCCTCTTGTCAACACGGTGAATTAAAATTAAGCTGCAAAATTAATTATAATTGGGCACATGAGTCTGGATCTTAGTTGGCCGCCGTATCTTAATGCTATGGTTTATTAGTTTCTTAATACGATTTGTGTCTGTCTGCAAATTGATTTACTACTTAACCTCGAAACTTCTTAGAAGAACGTGTAGCTTACTATTTATAGATCTAATGAGAGGATGAGGTACCCAGAAGAGCTAACCGAACAGTCGTAGATGCACAGGCCTCAAGAGTTGAAGCCCAGGGAGTTCCCTGGCGGTCCAGTGGTTGTTGGGACTTCACACTTGCATTACAGGGGGCATGGGTTTGATCCCTGGTTGGGGAACTAAGATCCTGCAAGCCGCATGGCCAAAAAAAAACAATCAAGAGTTGAAGCCACATCCCAAACTAAAACTGATGGCTCCCTCCCCATCCGCTACCAAGAAAAAGTGCTGTTATCTGTTGGTAGATGGGATTTTAGGGTTTGATTTTATCATTTACTGTTTTGTGTTTTCTGGTTCTTCCTTTAACTTTTTTACATTAAAAAACTGATAGAACTTTTGTACTTTTAAAAACATCAAGATGGAAATTTGGGGAAGATTTTTGCTTTATTGTTTTAAAGGAACCAATCAGAACTAAAATGATAGACCCAGATTTAACCAAAGTAAGAATCTTAGAGGGGTGGGGTAGGGAGGGTGGGAGGGGGACGCAAGAGGGAGGAGCTATGTGTATATGTATAGCTGATTCACTTTGTTATAAAGTAGAAACCAACACACCATTGTAAAGCAATTATAATCCAATAAAGATGTTTAAAAAAAAAGAATCTTATTGAAGTATTTTTGTTTGAAGCCAAATATATAACAAGGTAAATATGTACAGTTGACCCTTGACTGGGTTTGAACTTCACGAGTCCACTTATACATGGATTTTTTTCAATAAACCATGGACTACTGTATACAGTCCATGGTCGAATCCACAGATGAGGAATCATGGACACAGAGGGCCAACTGCACAGTTATAAGTAGGTTTTCAACTGCACAGGGGCCCATCCCCCTACCCCCCCATGTTGTTAAAAGTTCAGCTGTATTAGAATTTCAGTATTTTACTTAAATATTTGAAAAGCGTAGTTTGTTTTAAAAAATAAAAAAATTATAAAAGGTTAATTGAATCTGTGACATCAGATGTTGACATCCATGTCGTAACATGAACCCTTTTTATGGCCACATAATATTCCATTCTATGGACGTACCACGTTGTGTTTATCCCTTCATCAGTTGACGGACATTTGCGGTGTATTTACTTTTATTGAGTGGTTATGAATCATGCTGCTGTGAACATTCGTGTACCAGTTTTGTGTGGACGTAATACCTTCATGCCTCTTGCATATATGCCTGGCAGTAGAATTGCTAGGTTGTTAAGGTAGCTCTGTCTAACATTCTGAAGAACCGTCCAACTTTTCTAAAGTGGCTGCACCATCAGTCAGTATGTTTTGAAATGCAGTTGAACCATATTTTAAATGTCAGAGGGAAGAGGAGAGAGGAGGTGTGTTGCTCGTGAGTGTTTCGATTGTGTATTATTAATTCAGTATTTAGGGAACGTAAGCTTTGCTTGGATTGAATTGAATTGAGCACACGCTGACTTCCTGCTGCTGTGTGTGAGGCATTGGTGCTTAGCTTTAAAGATGACTCTGGACATTTTTGTAGCCTTTAGCTCCTTGTACAGTTTATACGTGCAGATGGTCATTTGGGACCGTGCTGGGAAATGACACACTGTTGCTTACCTACCACAGTAGCCACGGTGCGTCCACGAGCTGGGGAGTCATCTGTATAAAAACCACAGGCCCTTCCTGTCTGTGTTGGGTGCTGTGTGTCAGAAAGTGAGGGCTAGTATCTGTTCCCCTTAGACGTACCTGGTTTCAGCAGGTGCCTCCTTTGAAAGCCATTCACAGCAGACCGCGGCTGTGGTGTTTTCTTGGCTGTCCATTTCACAGTGGTCGGTGTGCTCACCAGAAACATCCGCATTTCGGGGCATCACCTTCAGGTTCTCAGGGAGATTTCAGGCTGGGAAGCGGTAAGGCAGGTGTGCTCTAATGTAGAAAGGGGAAAATCTTCAGGAGAGCGAGGTTGGCCGACCTTTCCTGTCAAGGGCTAGAGAGTAGATAGTTGAGGCTTTGTGGGCCAGTGGGCCTGTGCTGCACCCGCTCCGTTCTGCCCTTGTCGTGTGAGAGCAGCTACCGACCTTACGCAGATGAGCAGACGCGGCTGAGTGCCAACGCAACTTCACTGATGGACACTGGAATCTGAATGTCATATCAGTTTCGTGGGTGGCAAAATAGCATTGTTTCGATTTCCTTTTCAACCATTTAAAAGCGTAAAGGCTATCGATAGGTCCCAGCGCTTGCAGAATGCAGCTGCAGGTGGGAATTGGCCTGTGGGCCGCAGTGAGCCCACCTCGACCTAGAGAAACACACCTGTGTTATTTCTCCCTCTTCTGACTGCAGCCTTTGAGTTGGAGGACATCCGAGGTGCAGCTCTGCAAGGTCTGTGGCGTGCTTAGGACAGCATCCAAGTTGTGGTTACTCGACGAAAGCACTGCAGATTCTCAGGGAGTCAAGACCTGTAGGAATCTGAGGGCCTTCCATGTGAAGGGCGGCTCTGGACTTGTGTAACCGCCACCGCTCAGATGTTCTCAGCCCTGGGCAGTTCCCCGCCCCTCCCCAGGGGACATTTGATCACGTCTGGAGACGTTTTTCAGGGAGATCGAGAGCTTCTGGCATCGAGTGGGTGGAGACCAGGGATGCTGCTCTACAGTGCACAGGGCAGCCCATCCCAGAGATTTCTGTGCTCCCCAAAGTCCGGAGTACTGAGAGTGACGAACCCGACTCCCTGCTACTGTCACTACTTGATTTTGTGTTTTAATCCGAACGGTTTTGTGGCTGTGGAAATTTAAGACGCCGAGCATTTGGCTACAGGACTGAGTTCCTGCGTTTGCCGACATAACATGAGACTCGTTGAACTCTCATCAGATACTTGGGTTCACGATGCTTTAAGCATTTTTCTTTTAAAACTCTTTGTTGTTGTTGTCATTCATTTAAATTGAAGCATCAAAATACGCTTTAACACCAAGATTTTTGAGACGCAGGCTACCTCAAAGGGCAAGGCATCGCCCGCCTTAATATCTACGGAGAAAACCACAGGGTTTATTTTTCAGAACTTTGGAGGTCACCTTATATGAGTAAATGACCTCACTTACGACTCCACCTGCTGCAGAAAAGGGAATCATCAGGGCCCAAATAAATCCTGCGTTATGTGGGTGAAAATCACAGCGTCTTAGAGGTTTCATAACCAGCCTGTACATATTGCTGAAATTTGTCTGAGGGCCTAGTGCACATTGTAAAGAATCCTATGCCAGCCTCTCAGTCTTAGAGATAATTAAAATCTGTACGTTAATTTACAGATTAATCGGCAGCATTAGCTTACAAGACCCAAGTCATTAGAAAAAGAAGACAGACTACTCTTATGTGGAAGCAGCGGCTGTCTGTGTCTCCCAAGGCACTTTGCTTTGAAATCTTGGGTACCTGAACTGGCATTTCACTGTGTAGAGGAGAAGAGTAAAACGATAACTGTGCTATTGGTCTTACATGCATCGTCTGGCTCCGTGATGCAGACTTTCTTAGCAGGGGTTTGCTGTTACTGGGTGGGACATTTTTTAGGAAGGCTTTCTTCTGGGTCTGCCTCCCGATCAGGCAGAGAAGTGGAGGGTGGGGAGGGTTTGCGGCTCAGAGGGTTTGCGAGAGGACCCGGTGGCCGCTCTGGAGATGCGCACATGGTCTTGGCGGTAACTCCAGGACGGGACGCCTCTCTTGTCACGTCAGCATCCTTCATGGCTCTGCACACAGGGTTGGGATGCAAGGCCCCAGCCAGCCCTTAATTAACCCAGAAGGGCAGCCAGGCACAGAAAGGACCCTCTCTGAATGCCTCACGCAGGGGATGTTTTGGATTTTGTGAAGCGCCGCATTATTTTCGTAACCCGAGAAGACTCCCTTCTCTCTGCTCTCTCGACCCTGCGGCTTTATTTCCTACTCAGCTGGGTTGCTCTCCTAGTGATGATTTCTGAAGACGCTGCCAGATTTTAATGACGTTTTAATGAATATGAAAACGGTCCACGTTCATAGGAGAGAATTTGGAAGCTACAGAAAGGCACGCACACACACACAGATAAAATTCCAGCATGATCCCACCCCTGGAGAGGTGGGTGTATTTTATTATCTTTTTTATATTTTAGAGGGTATCTTTTGTGTGCGTGTACAAAATGAAATTTGGCGACATGCACGTTCCATCCTGAAACCTATTTTTTTCATGTATCGCCGTATCACGGACATTTTCTCCCGTCGTGAAAATCCTTTTGAGGACTGCCCCTTACGACACTAGTTCATTCTTATATTTAAATGGCACTTCCACTGCTAGGTCTGTGAACTCTGATAATAAAATGATAGTTCTTTGATTATATTTATAATTTTGGACCATTTGACTCCCAAGTAAGTAAATATAACTGTAAAATGAGTGAAAAATCTTGACCTTTGGGGGGATTTTTCTTTTCTTACCGTAAAATAATAGACATACTCATTGGTGAATGAAGATATGTCTATTTAAAAAACAAAACAAAACACTGTTAACATTTTCCTGTCCCC